GTGTCCAGTTCTGGGTGCCGTACTTCAAGAAGGACGTGGAGAACCTGGAGAGGGTCCAGAGGAGGGCAAAGAAGCTCCTAAAAGGAGCTGCTCTCTCATCCCCTAGCCAAACAGAAGGCTGGAGTACTGACACCTATGCACTGGTGAGCTTCAAGGGATTGCAGGAGTTCCCCCCAAGTAGTCTTTCCTGACCAGAGCAGAGGGGCTGGACCTGATGATCTCATGAGGTCCCTTCCAGCCCTAAACTTCTGTGAATCTGTGTGAATTTGTGAACCCCTTTTAAGCTGGTAAAGGGCCAGCTACCAGAAAATGCTGGGGTTGAGAAACAAAGCCAAAGCACTACCTCTATGCATAAAGGCCTGGAGGACAGGAACTCAAGTATCAGCTTCTGCATCTCTTGCTCAAGCCCATATCCCTATGGAACCACTCGTGTTTCCTCTGCCACAACCATTCTTTCCCTGGCTGCTGCAGAGTTCCTTCTGAACTGCTTCTGCACAATCCTCCCAGCCTCAGCAATACCCCCTGTACACAAAATCCATGAAAGTTCTGGTAGAAACCCATCCATGAATGCCATTCCTCTGTGCCTCTTGCCCTCTTCTCTCCAAGGAGGCTACCAACTCCCCCATTATCTGGTCCTTGGTCCTCTGCCTCTGACGCTTCCTGCTCAGTGAACGCTGGGTGGCTGCCAACACTTGTAACTTTGAGGTTCCAGAAGCAATACAGTTGGCATATATGGAAGGTAGGAAACAAAACATGAGGCCACAGTTCCATCCTTAGCTTCGGAAAGATATCCCTAAATCACTAACTTCTGAAATGCCATTACTGGAGCCCCTTTCTAGACTATGGCAATGGCAGGTATTTTGGCCCAATGGCTCCTGCTCCTTGTCACCTGAGGACAACAATGGTGGGTCACGTGCAAATGACAAGTACTTTCCATTGTCTGGGATGTGTGCAATTTGCTGGGATGCAGCCACCATGCAGCACCTATAGTTTAATACTCATGAGTCATTTTTCCTTTTCCTAGACCATCCAGATATGGGAAGACATGGACACTGATCCATATTACACAGGGGAAGAAGAAGTAGTTTGCAAAAGCCAGGAGGTTCCTGCTAAATATACACTGCTGTTGACAGGTGCCTGCAGAGGCCCCAAAGCAGTGGCTGAGAGACAGCCACCTATTCTGTAACAAAGGAAATGTCATCCACCTCAGAATGTGAAGTCCTGGCTGTAGTATTAGCTTCCTTCTACGTTTCACCTTTATTTCCTCAGGCAGATGAGCTACATGCAGGTCTTCGTAGTTATCAATGTCAGTCTTCAGCAATTGCCAGGCAAGCTGTTTGTGGTACCAGATTTAAAACTGGAATGAAGACGTGGAGCAGTGTTCTGCTGGGCTCTACTGAAATCAAGTGAGAGCTACTTAAAGGAGTCTTTTCAGTTTTTTCTGCCAAGGATGAAAGCATCAAGTGCAAGACTTCAGTGCAACAGTGGTGGGTCCCTATGCCTGCCATGTGACACTTAGGTTGGGAACAGGAAAGGGGAAGGCCTCCTTTGGCAACATAGACTGATGTGGCTGCCTGAAGAACAAAAATAATCCTCAACTCCATCATCACTGACTGAGACATCTGGGGTAATGACATAGTGCCTTGCAGGGCGGGCCACTAGCTAGCTATGCATCATTTTAGCCCCAGCCATCTGCTGCAATCTGACCACAGCCAAGATCACCAAGGCCCTCAGTAAACCAGGAACCAACTTGGGCTCCTGAGCATGAAACAGAACCTAGTTTCCAAGGAAACCTACAAACCCCTTAGTCTTCACTCTACCTATGCTGCTGAGGTAATCTCATCAGCAGGGATCCTGATTTTCTCCTATTAAGAAAAAATCCCCAATTTTTGGATTTAAAAAATGTAACCCAAAATCCACATTTTTCTGTGTTCCTGCTCCTCAAGATCCAACCTAAAGTTCACCACAAAGTGTGATTCAATGCTGGCATCATCTACTGAAGTCAAGCCAGGCTCCTCACATCAGAGACACAGCTCAGTTGGTGCCCAAGCAGTGGCTGGCATCCCTTGCATCTTTATAGTGTAGCTTAAGGTCTTTAGTCTTTGCTCCACGTTTCTGACCATTCCACTGAATTCCAGGGCCACCAGTCTCCCCAGGGAGAAAGAGACAGAGACACCCTATGCCAGCGGTCCCTCTGATCCCAGAGCCTCTTTTGGTTGATCCTGGGCTGGATGCATACACACACGTACACATGTGGCTACACTCCAGCCCAGCAGATCAGTCTATGGGGGGAGGGAAGGGGCAAAGGTCAGACGGAGGCCTCCGTGGTGAGGGACAGACTGAGTGCAGCACACAGGAGATGGGGAAGTGAGTACAGCTCCAGCCAGGCTGGGTGGTGGGAGGATTGGAGACGGGGGAAACAGGGGGATGGGGGGGCGGAAGGGAAGACGTGCACAGCGGCATGTGAGGAAGGGGGATTCCTGCTGCTGAGCGCACCCTGGCAGAGGCCCTGGGGGCACATGACCCCACCCAATCTGTGCATGGGACAGAGGCAGCTGCCACTGCCTGCTGTGCCTCAAGCCCCACTGCAGCTGGCCATGTGTGGGTGTGGCTCAGCCTGGGCAGGACGCACATGGTGTCCAGCCACTTCCAAACCAGCTGCAGCACGGCTCAGGGTGCAAATCCCAGCCTACAAGGGCAGCCACCTCTGCCATGGACAGATGTGGGGGGACACATGCCCCAACACAGGGCAGCGCAGGAGGCTGCAGCAGCAGTGAGGGAGGGAGTGGGGCCAGGGCAGGATGGAGCTGTGAGTGGATTGTCCAGAGGG